GATATCTATCTTAATAAATACTCGATAGTTCGGCTGGTAAACCTTTCTTAAAAAGAGTGTTTCAAGTGATAAGTAATACGTATCGGGACGAGTATTCAAGAGGGACGACTTGCATTTTCTTTCTTTCCTTTTCCTGTTCAACGCAATCACCGTTTGCAAGTAAGATGGAAAACAAGGAAGTCGGGAGGCACGTGCACAATGGTAGAAGGTATTACTTTCTTTCTCTTGTTTAAGTCGAGATCGATCAATCCCTGGGTGGACGAGCCGTGAACGCGAAAGTCGCCTCGAACGTGACAATGGAAGGTACATACGCGAGAAAGAACGAGTATACCCTTACCCGTTCGCAGGCAGCTCGACTGGAGCATTCATAAATACTGATATCAAAAATACTAGACCTCGTGATGGAACAGAATTTCCTAACGAGTTCTTCTCTCTTCTCATCCGTTTTTGCATAGAAATCTCTTTCTCACTCTCTCACGCTCTCATTCTTTCTCTCTTTTTCTTTCTCTCTCTCTCTCTCTTTCGCTTTCTCTGTTTTTCTATCTACTGTGCGCGTGTATGTATATTTATACGTGAAATGGGGGAAAAACGCGTCGGCTCTTACAAAACTAAGAATGTACATCTACTTGTAGGTAGAACGACAAACGAGTCGGCCTCAAAAAGGTCGAGGAATGTTCAAACGTAAGCGATTCGCAAAGGGGAATACTTCTATCCATGATCATTTAATGTATAATACAAATTGTTCCAACTTTGAGTACCATCAAACTTAGATTTTCCAATTCTATCGTTGAATTTTTTTGCGACCAACTGTACGCGCGGATCGGCTTAATCTTTTTAACAGACCTGATACTCGGGACCTGATCAACTCGTGTGAGAAATGTCGCGCGAAGATCGGCTCTTTTGTTCGCTTGAGCAGACTTAATTCGATCGTTCCACTAGATTAAAATCGGAGCTAAATATTTTCCGCATTGGTAAATTCGTCTATATGTAGGTACGTAATGGTCCCTAAAAGTTATAATCTATTATATCTCGTATACGACGATCTCTCAATTGTTAACGAGTGTGCGCGATATTATGTAGATTGGACGCTTGTTGACGTTAATAATGGGGATGCCTTGTCGGCAAATCGTACAATATAAATGCAATACGGATTATGTGGAACGCAATTGTAAAATATGAATCAACTCATGCGACATCCCACTTGATTCTGGTAGTTATAAAAAATAAACATGTATATTCCTTGGAAGTTCGTCTACCTTGAAACAATTATCAAAATTGCATTGTGTAAAACACTTGAATCCTTTAAGTTATTACAGTCAGAAGCATTTGAAATATTCTGACAAGCGATTCGTACTGCGTACTGTCTATGACGTTGTGATATACTGTTTCGTTGTCGTCAGGGTATAAATTTAAGAAAAATATCAAAGTTCTTTTATTTGGAACCGTGGGCAAAGATCGGAAAATCGAGTAATCATTATCATCTATCGTAAGTCTAAGTGTTCTCAGGTAACCGATTTTCTGGAGATTTTTTTTACGAAAATCACCAGTGAAACGCGATAAATAATAACTGTGACGAACGTACGATCGTTCCTGCGGCTAAGTATATTTACATCGTACTTCGTTCCTTCATCGACAAACGAACAAAAAAAGGCACTATCATCCCTTATCCCTACGATCAGAATGATCGATGACATTTACTATCTATGTATATCGCCGCATTTCAATTTACCATGTGTACCTTGTGATTTTTCAAAATAAAAATAGCTTATCATCTAGATTGTAAAAAATTATCTATATCGTGTACGTATAAAAGTACTAGAAAATATGCGAAACTCTGGTATATATTTGAAGAAAGTGGTAACACGAGCGACGATTTCACCTGGTAATAAGAGAGAGCGGCTGCCCTAATCCGTACCTACGTGCGATTACACTTCGTTTCATGAACGTTTGTGTTTCCTCTTTAAGGTGGTAAAATCCTGAGACTCGAAAGTACTACGGATAGTCGCGGTCTATTCACATACATTGTTCGGTAATCTAATAAGTTTTACCTAACGCCATTTTTAGACACGATCGTTGAAGAAACCGAAGATCGTCCCACCGACAATATTTTCATCAAGATTCACTTTGAAGACTTCATTCATTTCTATATATTATATTTCATTTAAGCCAGTTATGAAATAACACGAAGTAGCGTTGATGAAAATAAATGTCGGAGGTTCAGATGTCATAGGCGTGAACCAAAGAATTTTAAATAGAAAACTTTTTGTATCTTCATAAAAAGAGAAAGAAAAATTCTCCAATTAAGAAAAAAATAGAAGCAAACATACTTATATTAAAAAACACAATTAATGATTGTTAATAAAGTGTTCCATGTTTCTGCAATAATTTGTTAATAAACGTTAAAAGAAACATTGAAAAAAATAAAAGATTTGTCATAAAAGAAATCCAAAGCTCACTTCCCAAACGATCGTGTCGAATGCTATCACTGGAAAAAGATTTTCGATCAAACAAGAAAAAAAGCAAATGTCAATGCATCTTGTCTCTGTAATCTGAAGATGTCAAGGTACAAAACAATATCAAATACCCTAAATCATATGACAAAATTCTTGAGACAAAACCATTGATTATCCTATATTTCGATATATCCGTGTGTACTTTAGTACTGATTTCAATATACAAATATAATTATGTAAAAGAAGAGAATAAGCCATTTATAGTTAACTTAACTGGATCGAAAATTTTTTCACAGAGGGTAATTCAAGTTAAAGCGACAAATGACGGGGCTATCATTTTTATTTTTTTTTGTAAAAAGCTAATTCTTTTATAAAAAAAAAAAATACTTTCCATTATACGATAGATGTAATCTTAAAACACGTTCAGAAAAATTTCTGATTGATTTCTTGTTAAGCATTTCTTTACGAATGTCAGCGAATACGAACGAGTAAGACAAGATTGCGTCCATCATAGAAGTTTTTTTTTTATATTGAATTGTGTTTTACCAAAAATAAAAAAGACAGTCCCGTTCACTTTCTTCCCTCGGTATACAATCGGAGACACCTTTAGGCGTCGTACTCGAGTTTTTGATGATGCCGTTTGTAGTGCACCGTCAAGTTACCCCGTTGCCTGGCCCTATAGGGGCACTCAGGGCATTGGAAGGCCGGTGGCTTGCCACCGCATTCGACTGTTTCGTGACGGCGCATCGTGCTTTTCCATCGATAGCCTTTGCCGCAGAAACGGCATCGAAATTTTCGTTGCTGCTCGTGAGGCACGCCCATATACACGACGCTCAGGTCGCGCGGCTGTGGAAGCACCTCGAACGAGTCGGGAAACACTACCTCGCGGGTGGACGCACGCGTTCCGCTGTCGTTACCGCTGTCATAGCTGTTGCTGTTATCACCGGCATTGTTGCTGGCGCATCTGCTTGCTAGAACGACGCCGCTTCTCATCTTTCCCGTGGAACCAGACCCCGACGAGCGAGTCTTCTTGAAGTCCGATCGCAACAGCGACAGCAACGCAACCATTCCTGCAACAAGTCCCGACGCCAAGCGAGACGCGAGATCGACGTCAAAGGTTATTTTATTAAATAAAAAAAAAACAGAAAGAAAGAAAAGGGAGAAACTAAAACGCGGGTCAACCCTTTCAAGATCGATGCTTAACTTCTTTCGTTCTAATAAGAAATCTGAATCGCAATCAACTGATAAAGTTGTAACATGAACATTGGAACAATTCTTCGATAGGACACATCGAGTTCTGTTCAAATAGGAAATCAATAAAATAATTTTATCTTGAAAGGGTTAAAATGGGCGCTCGGAGGTAGGGGAGAGGGATGAGACGGGAAAGGATGATGCCTCGTTCAGGACTTTTATTTTTCGTCGATCGATGCACGGATAGTTATGCGGTAAAATAAAAAAAAAAGAGATCAGTGAGATTAAACCCGTAACCAACCCAACACATAACGTATCAGCCAACAGCTTTGAGAAATAAGTGCGCCCAGGGTAACATCTTTGCCGTGTTTACGTGAATGTAGGCGTGAAGTTTTTAAATTAGCGGAAAAAGATGGACAGATGTATTGTACGCGTCGACGTAACAATTAATCTTAAAGATAGATTCATATGTGATCGTCTCTCCACCTTCTTCAACCCATGGTCTTCGATGAAATAGATGCCAATTTCCAACCCTCCACAATAAAATAACCAAAAAAAAAAAAGAAAAGGATGCTTTGGTGGTCGCAAGGTGATCTCGAATTCGTATGTATTCAAAATTATATGTACGTAGATAATTAATATACAAAAGATTTTGTTGCACTAAAAAAATAGCTGCACTCCTATGGTTTTCTTCAAAACGCATATTTATGTACTCTGTAGGGAACCAGGGGACATCGCTTGATTTTAATGAACATAAAGCGTATTTTAAAAAAATTCACAAAACGTCCAAGAAAGAAGACAATATCCATAGGTACTCTTCTTACCTGAAAAAATTAAGCAAACATAATTAGTCACAAATTAAATATTTGATGAATAAAAATAGTGTATGTCCATAAGAAACATAATAAGTGATATTTTTAGGAAATACGACTTGAATTAATCATACGTTTTATTTATATAATAAGATTAACATTAATCTTTAGTATACATTGTTGTGAATTAATTCCAGTTTCGATAGAGAAAGTTGATTTTAAACATATGTTGGTTTTTCCATTTATGTACAAGGGCCATAAAGATGTCCTTGTGGAAACAAGAATTCACATCGTATTATTAGAAAAGCGCACGCGGCTTTTCAAGCTATCGCGGAATATTCAATTTCCCGCCCACATTTGTTTATGTTTAGTCATTATGTGGTAATGTAAGTTGAATTTCCTTTTCGTTCTGAAGGGACAGTAGGGACAGCAACATTTGGGAGAGATGCCGCATTCGAGTTTTAAATGTCGGTACAAGGAAGAGATGTTCGCGTAAGTCTTCTCGCACTGGCCACAAGAATGTATCCGCGGATTCTTCGTTGACTTGATTTTAGCCAGAGGACGTATTAGGTGTAAACCTGAAAAAGAAAGTGTCGTATTAGCGAAGGATTAGACAGACAAGCGTCTTGAAGGAAAGACGACATTCAATAACGAACTACCAATTTTCATCGTTAATAAAAGACATTGGTATGACATGAAATGAAGATGCGTAGAATGATTAAAAAGCAAGAATTTGGAAAAGAATATGAGACTCTGACCGACGGGTACCGAATGATCTGTCGAACAGTTTTTTGAAAAAAGGTAGATCCTGTGCGCTCGTTATTAATCGTTCCAATCAGACACAACCGTAACGCATTTCAGCCTTTGGTATTAGAATAAAATACAACATTTATTTTTATAAAAACGTATTCGAAATAACAAGGGAGATCGCGTCTGAACAGTTCGCGAACGGATCGCGATCGATGCGAATCGTTAATTGGCGTTGTTCACGTTGTAGAGCATTTTGTAGTGAATCTGTCGGATGAACTCGCCGTTCCCAGATGTTAGGAGGACGGGCCAACACTCCGGGCTCTCGCGCACGTGCCGATGCAGGGACTTCTTCCATTTGTACGATTTCGAGCAGGCCAAACAGGTGTTCCATTCTGGAAAAGAAACCCGTTCGTTCTGTCAGTTAATCGGTTCACAAGCAAATATCGCCGGAAAATAGTTGATCGTTGACAACGAATGTTACATTGCTCATTCTCTGGGCCACGGTCAAAAAGTAACACGATCAAAGATGAAGCAGCCCCACGAAGATAAAGGCTCGCCGCGACCTGCGCTTCTTTTTAATCCTTGAAGAAAACCGGTAGCTATTGGATCACTTTTGACGCACAGTTGTATTTGGTATAATTAAGTCGACAATAAATAGAATTAGTCAGGAAGATGTTCGGGCATGTTAATTTTCTGCTTCCATACGTTACTAGTTCTTAAATATTCTCCCTACACTACACTTTACTTCTTGATTTCGTTGTACTCAAAGCATGGGTCAAAAGTAACTTATATTTGTCAATCAATGCACATTTGATTGCCACTCGTTGCATTGCCTTTTGTAAAAAATTATATCTACATATCCAACAGTAATTATTACATATTCACAGCATTTCGACGTCAACAGCCTACGTGTTGACGTACCCTGTTACGGACGTTATTCGACAACTAATTTCGGTTATTTATTTACAATTAAACGGTGTGCGCATGCTTTCGGGGAAAATGTACAATAGAGTTACAGACAGCTCATCGTTAGGAGGAAAAGAAACACGTTTGGGGAAAGTCACATTTAAGTAGTTGGTGATAATCGGTCGCGAGTATTTTTTATCTATAAAGGCATGTTCAACTAGACAAGATGATTACTTAATGCTCGTTAGTTTTTCAACTTACGCATAAAAAATTGTTTTTTCCCAGACAATAGAAATGCCTGTTACGTGTCCCTGACGCGCCTCGTCAACTAGAGGTAATATTATGTATTATGTATTTCTGTTCCCACAAATTTTGAGGGACCAATTACCAATTAAAAGATCTGAAAAAAATTAGAGACTGTGATTAGTAAAAACTCAAAGAAATTAGTCGACACCTTCTCTGAAGAGTGACTCTGCGTGCTCCCCTCTTTATCTCAGTAAATGAGATGAAAAATAAGACGAGGTGAAAGCACTTTTAGCACAATGAATCGTTGCATCGTTGTATTCCTTTATTGTTTAGATGCGCTCACACCCGTACAAGTACACATGATACTTCCACTGTAAGCGTCCTGATTCGATAATTAGTAAAGTAAGGCATCCAACGTTATCAGTCTGATTAAACGAGATCCGATTTAAAGTAGTCCGAGATCGTGTCGCACTGTCCTGAAAATCGAGCGCGGTTCAAAGGAGTAGACTTTCCTTATCTTCAGATGCTCACTTAACCCAGGGAGGAACAAAAGAATAAAAAAGACAGAACCGGGCTTCTCTTCAGATCTTCGCGACGCAGCCGTGTTCCTTCTTCAGGTGGTTGAGAAGGTTGAACTTCATGGGCATGATACTGTGGCAAAACGGACACGTGTACAAAACTCTGCCGCACTCTTCGCGGACGTGCCGGTTCAGGGCCATTCTCGACCTGTACGTTTTCTTGCACTCGCAGCACGCGTGGAAACCTGAAAAGGAAGGAACAAAGGTACCTTTGAGTACGACGCACTGCGAATTCTCATTGTTCACGTACAAGCTTCCGCCCCATAAAAGCATCAGCAAAGCATACAATCTTTTTCCTCTCTCTTTCCCGAAATTCGGCCTCGCCGCTTCTTTCAGTTCGACTCCCGTTTTTCGTGACCGTCGCAGTCCATGTGTTTCCTTTCGTTTCTCGTGAAAACGACATTTACAATAAAAACAGATACATATAAATAAAACATAAAAATGCGACGCATCAGTTTAGAACACACACACATTATATATGATTTCAATTGTCATTTATTAAAGCATACATTCATTATGGAATCTGTTATAAAATAACCATTGGTTTAAATAAAAAATGTGGAAAAATGCAATATATCAATAACTGATAAGTCCGACTCATACGGTTTTAAAGATTCTGTGAACAGTTATGATCCATAATCTCTAAGCGTTTTCTCTAAGTGTATCAACCATGTATATTTCGTGACGAACTTGTAGCCTTACGTTTCCTTCTTCGATTTGTCCATTTTCTAATATCTTTTCCATGCATATAAAACATGTGATACACAAGAGACGGCCGACTATTGAAGTATCTCTCACATACAGTGCAAACGAGATCATCATTACGCGTCAAACTCATCTTCTTTTTATATACGTGAGAGCAATTCTCACACTCAAAATGTTCAGCTTCGTCTGAAACTAAAAAATTGATCAATCATTATTACAGATATCATAATTATAACTACCCGTTACCCTCGGACTCCGAATACTTTCTGAACGAAACGTATCGAAATCGACAAACAAGACCGTGGCACACCCTCATCGTTGGGTCAATGTAAACGCGTTGACATTGTTGCACACAAACCAATATGAACGCGCTGACTTTGATCCGACGATTCGAGGGACGCTACAGTAGTAAGCAATAATGTTAGTTGTGGACAAAGACAAAACAGGAAAGACGAGAAGAGGGAAGTGACCGTAAAAGATTTTCTCGATGGTCTTAAGAAAGGCAGTTTTTTTTTTCGATCGTTTGCGGTACTCTTCTGCTTCTTTATTTTTGGTATTACGAAAATACATGCATTTACGAATAATGGAGATTAGGTGTTAAGTTCGCGTGGCGACGTTCGTTAATGACGCGCTCCGTCACGCTCGAACAACGCGAACATCAAGATCGTGGGACACGATCGCGCTTGGTGCTAACATTTTCATCCTTGCTTAATTGTAATTCACTTACACTTATACCTAAGCGATAAAATCAGTCACGCGTTTGCAAGGCGAACGACTGGCGAACGTTTCGACTGGGAGAGTCGACGGGATACGTTCGCTCTTCGCTTCCTTTCCAAGGGGAACGTTATACGCGAGATGCGGAGAACACAGTGAGCGAAGCGA